AGAGGCTGAAGGAGACCTGGGGTTGGAAGAGAAAAGAGTAGGACAGATACCATCTGTTTAGGCCTAAAAATTTAGGATGAGGAACGATGTTCAAGAAGGACAGATCTTCCTTGAGCACTAAAGGGCCCTGCAGGGTGCTGCCAGGTGGGAAAAGAGGGTTCACTCCCCGTTGGGGACCCTCCTACTCTCTGATGCAAGACATCTGCGTGGACGACTCTGGCCGGGTCTTACCCTCTACAGCCCTGTCCCGCGTGCCCGGCAGCTGTGCCCGGCAGCTGTGCCCGGCACAGCAAACAGCAGCACAAGGCACCCCCCATCCCCCGCCATGTGACCTTGTTGCTTGAAACACGGCCTGATCTGGACGTGACCAGTGGCTGAGGTCAGTGCCCGCAGGGCCGGCGACATTCGCTCCTTCCCCGGGGAAGCTTCAGGACCTTGCGCCAGTGCCAGGCTTCCTAGCTGGGTTTCCCAGCAGGGTTTCGGCAGGAGGAGCGCACCGTGTCGCGGGCCCTGTAGAGGGCGCTCTCCTCCACCGCGCCTCCCAGCTGCGGCCCCAGGGCCTCGCCGTCCCGCTCGACCCTCCCCCAGGCCGAGCCTGGCCTCTCCCGGCCATGCCAAAGGCAGTAGTCAACCCGGGGGCCGATTTCCAGTTTCAAAATCAAACTCCTTTTTAATGCAAAATTTGCATTTCTGCCAGTTTTCGGTCAAATACACAAGCCCGCAAGCACATAAAGTGGTCACTTGCAGCCACGGAGTCATGGGGGAGGGCACACACCCTGCAGCCACCGCGGGAGGCCAGGGAGGCAGTGTGGCAAAGGCCGCGGGAGGCTGAGGTCGAGCCCCCAAGCACCCAGGGGCCTCCGGAGCAGGAGGACGCGGAGCTCCGAGTCGGCCCCAAGGCGTTCGGCGCCACCCACCCCGTGGGCTCAGGGCCAGGGCCGCACCTCCCATGTCCCGGGCGACCTCTGGCTCCGCGGAAGTCTCGCGCCCTCTCGGCGCCCCGTTCTGCAGCACTCGGCCATGGGCGCCGCCAGCTCGTCGGCGCTGACCGGCCTCGGCCTCCCCGCGCCGCCCCTCCTCGTGCAATATCGGCCCGGGTGGCTCGGGGTCGCCGCGCTGGGACTGGCCGCCGCGGCGCTGGGGGTCGTGGCATGGCGCCGCGCGCGACCCAGGCGGCCCCGGCGGCTGCAGCAGGTGGGCACCGTGGCGCAGCTGTGGATCTACCCGGTCAAGTCCTGCAAGGGGGTGTCGGTGAGCGCGGCCGAGTGCACGGCCATGGGGCTGCGCAGCGGCCACCTGCGGGACAGGTAAGGCCGGCCCAGGCCGGTGGGCAGCGCAGGCTGGGCCCGGGAAGAGGACGCGCCCGTGGGAGACCTGCAGTCCGGGAACAAGTCCTTCCCTCCCCTCACGAGAAGGTGGGAGCGGGGTGGGCAAGGAAAGAGAGAAAAAGGGGTCCTAGCCCCGCACGCTGGTGGCGCAGTGGTTCAACGTTCAGCTGCTAGCCAAACAGGTCGCCAGTTCGAATTCACCAGTCCCTTTTTGGAAACGCTTTGGGCTAGTTCTACTTTGTCCTAGAGGGTCGCTATGAGTCGGAATCGACTCGACGACAACGGGTTTAAGTTAACGGGTTAGTCCCCGGAAAGCAGACCTTGGGGGCCTGGGACGCTGAGCAGAGCTCTGTGACCCCATTCGATTTCCGAAGATGGATGAATTTCCACCTCCCAGGGGCGCCGTCACACCTAGTGCTCCTGAGGAGGTGTGTGTATCAGGCTCCGGGAGTCCCCCAGAGCGCATGCAAACTTATTAAACTCAGCCTACAGTTGGCAGCAAGCTCCAAGGGCTTGGTCCCCGCCACTTTGTTTTTAGTGACTGGTGGTACAGAGGTTAAGACCTCAGCTGCTAACCAAAAGGTTGGCAGTTCAAATCCACCAGCCGCTCCCTGGAAACCCTACGGGGCAGTTCTACTCTGTTCTACCGGGTCGCTGTGGGTTGGAATCAACTGGCCGGCAACAGGTTTGGTGTTTTTTGTTTGAGAGCTTGAGGAAATTGGGAGCAGCAGAGTCCAACCCTGAAAGAGCGGCCACCAAGGCTGAGCACATAGGAACAATGACAGCAGTTGTATACCTTCCTATAGCTTAAAGACTGACTGTATTGAGTTCTGTTCGTGGCAATCGAAATTTGGCAAGGGATATTGGTTACACAACATGGTTAATGTAATTGATGTCACTAAAGTGTACTCGTGAGTAATGCTAAATTGGCAAAGATTGTGTTCTATATATTTTGACAACAATAAAAAAGTGATTGTAT